AAAAAGAATACATTTTGACGCAAAGCATCAGTCAAAATCCATGAGTTATTTTGCATTGTCTACCTGCAGTAGGCATTTATGAACTCCCAGCAATGCCAGCTGTCATTTATCAGTTCTCTCTACGTGGGCAAGCCATTTGAGTTGTAGGAGATGCCTTTGCAGGAAGGAGACTCCAATGATACATCCTACGAAGTCAGTACACCAGAACCAGAGTATAGAGGGGACCTCTAAAAGTGCTCCAAATAAGTTTCCAAGGCACACCTCAGGCCTAACGAATGCTAAGACTATCTAACACTGGTCCACCAACTTGAGCTCCAATCCCGTATCTTTCACACTGGTCGAGTGGCCTAAGCACAGCACTGAAGTTCTCTAAGTCTTGGTTTTCTCAGTTGTAAAATGAAGGTAATAAAATGTAATAAAATGCTGCCTCCGTTAGGGTTGTTCTGTGGATTATAGGAGCAGTTTCAAAGCCGTTACTGTTGTTGCCCACTGATCACACGAGCTGCCCGGTCCCCCAGCCAGAAGGCAGACTGCTCAATGTTGTGGCTGTGTGGTATGGAGGGCCCCTCAGAGCCATGGTGATTCAGGCGAAAGCCTTTAGCCAGCACTTGAGTCTAGTTTGGGCTTTGTCTCCAGCTTGGAGAAACAAATTCAGGAAATATAAGTAGGAAGAGAACCAAATCCATGACCTGACACCTTTTTTATTGTCCGTTTGCTTTAAACTTTACTCATTTGAAAACAGCTGCCCTCTGGAACAAATGGAGAATTGTTTCCCATGTGTCTTAGGAACTCGTGATGGTATGCATTGCTTCCTGTTGGTTCAGTGTACTTGCCTGATAAATATTTGTTGAATTCCTATCAGTTTTGAGAACCATGCCCAGTGCTTATCTAGACAGAGCCAATGCCAATATACGTTTTCTGGAAATAGCCTAGGATAGGAAAAAGAATAATTTCTGTTGGGAGGTCTCTGGGGGTTACTGAGTTTCCCACTGCTGGGTACAGAAATCCCTCTAACTACCAGCACTTGAAATACTAAAGGAATCATGGGGCTGGCACTGTGGCGCAGCAGATTAACGTCCTGGCCTGAAGCACTGGCATGCCATATGGGAGCCGGTCTAGTCCCGGCTGCTCCTCCGATCCAGCTCTCTGCTCTGGCCTGGGAAAGCAGTAGAAGATGGCCTAAGTCCTGGCTGGGCCCCTGCACCATGTGGGAGACCCGGAAGAAGCTCCTGGCTCCTGGCTTTGGATCAGTGCAGCTCCGGCCATTGCGGCCAATTGGGGAGTGAACCATCAGATGGAAGACCTCTCTCTCTGCCTCACTTCTCTCTGTGTAACTCTGACTTTCAAATAAATAAATAAATCTTTAAAATAAAGTAAATGAATCACTAAGAGAACTTGTCCCTCCTTTTTTGGATTAATGAGAAATACCAATATAAAAAAATATAAAATGTTCCCAAACATGGGAGGGCAACATGGTGTGACCCTACAGGGATCGCACGAGAGCCCTTTATGTAATGAAGAGTTCAGTGTCTTCATTGCAGGGTGGCTGTGGGGAATCCACATGTGCAGTACAGTTACAGAGAACCACACACATGTACATGGAAAGCCAGGAAAATCTAAATGCACTGTGTGGATTGTCTAAGGTCAGTTCTCTGGTTCTGATGGTGCACTAGTTATGTAAGACATTACAGCTAGGGGAAAATTAGTGCTGCAGGGGACCTTTCTGTACTGTTTTTGTAACTTCCCGTGAACCAATAATTATTTTGAAATGAAAAGCTTTTTAAAAATTACAAAAGATCGGGCCAGCGCCGCGGCTCACTAGGCTAATCCTCTGCCTGCAGTGCCAGCACCCCAGGTTCTAGTCCCGGTTGGGGCGCCAGATTCTGTCCCAGTCGCTCCTCTTTCAGTCCAGCTCTCTGCTGTGGCCCGGGAGTGCAGTGGAGGATGGCCCAAGTGCTTGGCCCCTGCACCACATGGGAGACCAGGAGAAGCACCTGGCTCCTGCTTTCGGATCGGCGCGCTGGCTGCAACGCACTGGCCGTAGCAACCACTTGGGGGGTGAACCAACAGAAAAAGGAAGACTTTTCTGTCTCTCTCTCTTACTGTCTAACTCTGCCTGTCAAAGAAAAATTAGAAAAGATGGGTTGAGTTTTAGAATCATTGAAAAGAGGTATTCAGAGGTATTCTGGGGAAAGCAATTTCTTCATTTCCCAACATCTAATCAAGGGTTTCTCAACCTTATGACCCTGATAAAGTCACGGTTTACCTCATTTGCAACTTAGTATTATGTATTAGCTTTTTTTTTTTTTTTTAAACCTAGAAATCACTTGCTACAGAGAGCAGAGTAAAAAGATGCAGGTGAATTGCCTAGACAGGAAAAACAGGTATGGAAGTGTAATGGAGCTGAGGAGAGGTGGTTTTATAACTCTTACTGGTTTCAACAGTCAGGAAGGGTGACCCATGTCCCCACCCACCCTGGTCCAGAGCTCCATGCTGCGCTATGACTCACTATGCACCCTTTTGTCTTCCCATCCATCAGTAACCTGTCATTTCCCATTTGCAGTACAAGTTTGGAAAGCTAAGTCTATTCCCTCAATTCATATCCTTCAAGATCAGGGTAACTTTCCCCAAACCCCTGTATTTGCTTTATTTCTTCATTCCTTCATTTATGGAATATGTTTTGAGCTCCATTAATAGAAATAAGAAGGCAAAAAATAGAATGTGGTTTCATCCAACAAGGAGAAAGACACTCAAATGATAATAATGAAATCAACACTTCCATAGACACATGGTATAAATTCTGTAGGAAAACAGGAGAAACAAGAAAGTGTTGGAAATGAGAGGCAGGCATTGGAAAAGCTTTCCAAAGGAGGTGCCCTTGGATCTGGGTTCCAAAGACTAGGTAGGAGTTTGTGAGGTGAAGAAGGTGAAGAAGGTGAAGAAAGGGCATTCCAGGTAGAGGGAAGGAACTTGGAGGCATGAAAGGAGTGGGGCTGGAGAGTGTGGTGTGAATGAATGCAGAAAGGGTGGAGGAATAAGATGGCCTGTGAAGAACTCTGCATGCCTTACTCGGGATATCAGATTTATCTTCAAGGTTGTGGGAACTTTGTCTATTTATTTATTTGAAAGGCAGAGTTACACACAGAGAGGGAGAGAGGTCTGACATCTGCTTGTTCACTTCCCCAAATGGCCACAATGGTCAGGGTTGGGCCAGGTTGAAGCTAGGATCCAGGAGCTTCTTCCCGGTCTCCTCTGTAGGTGCAGGGGCCCACACGTTGCTTTCCCAGGTGTATAACCAAGAGCTGGATCATAAATGGAGCAGTCCGGACTCCAACTGGCACCTACATGGGTTGCCATTGTTGCAGGTGGTGGCTTAACCTGCTGTGCCACACGTCAGCCCCTGTCAATTTATTTATGTTAGTTTATTTGTACATAACCACTTGAAGGAATATAATAACAATGTACAACTTACAGTATATTATACAACAAATAGAAAATATATCAGTATGTTATTAACATTATTATGCAAATAAAAACTGTTTTGGTGATATATTACAAAACAAAAAGAACAAATATTTGCACACTGATTTTCTAGCTTAAGAAATATTTTTCATGGCAATAGCTACTTTGTGTTAGAAACCATGACTTTCTTACAATATATCAAACAAAAATACTCTGGTTTCTCTTCAGATCGGATAAATCTTTCACCTTTTACAATATATCAAACAAAGTCAATGCAAGGCCCTGTTTTCAGTAAATGTTTGTTTTCAAGAGCTCTACACAGAATGTTTCAAGGAGAGATTGGTGCCACAAGACTAGTACACACACTGACAAGGCAGACATGGCTTTTTCTTACTAAAATTTCTAAAAGTAAATAAAACAAAATTTGGGGAGAATGTCCAATATGTAAATGATTGTCCATTGGTACCATATATTTTAGAAGTTGGGATCTGTTATTATACCTTTTTTTTTTAGATGTATTTTATTTATTTGAAAGTCAGAGTTATTCAGAGAAAGAAGGAGAGGCAGAGAGAAAGGGGTCTTCCATTCACTGGTTCACTCCCCAATCGGCTGCAACGGCTAGAGCTGCACAAATCCGAAGCCAGGAGCCAGCAGCTTCCTCCAGGTCTCCCACACGGGTGCAGGG